GTAGGCCAGCCATGAAAGCAATCGACTGCTTTCGTACAGCCGGACCCAAGGGTCAGCCTGTTTCATTTACGCTGCTTCCTCCTTTTCATCCACGTCAGCTCGACAGAGCGGCGTTAAAAGCACCTGCTGAGCTCCCTGGGGGGGCTGTTTTCTAACATCCCATGTTCTTCAAAATACAGCAAATGAGGCGAGCATTAGAAAAAAAACCAATGCAAGGCAGTCCTGTGGCACTTAGGGACGTGATGGCAGGGTTAGGTTAAAGGTTGGACTCGATGATCTTAAGGGGCTTTTCCAACCAAAAGCGGGGAAAAAAAAAAAAATACACTGTATGTCTTCATTTCCTGTAGTCCCTTTGCAACTACTGAAGAACATGGTTTGCTTCTTAGAATTTAAAGAAGAGTCCATTTTGTCTTCCAAGAAAAGAATTTGAAGGAGACATTCAAGGCTTAGCTGGAAGTGCTGGTAGATACTCGCCGAATGGCGAGGAGGAAGAAATGTTTTGTTATCCACTGTTGGTTATTGAGTGATGGTCAGGGCAACTTAAAAGATAAATTGCTCCTAAAATGTAGTTAGGGTTGTCTATATTGTCTGTGTTTAATACTATTAAAAGAAGTGTGAGTACTTGTGGTGGGACAGATGCATATCAATGCAGGCTGTTTACGGCAACATTAAAGACAACCCCTAAAGTCAATGTACCTGAGAACTGTGGGTGTGTAGCACAGAACTAAATTGCTTAAAAAATCCTTCAAAGCATAAGAAGGAAGCGGATTACTGACTTTGATCCAGATTTCTGATCCGGATGTACTTGGAAGTGTGTACTGAATTTACAGAAGTAATAAGCTCTAGCAGAACTTGAAACAGTAGAACTTATTTTTTGCTTATAAACAGTTAAATAGGTGGAACGGGTCATCTGTGGATGCAAGGCGGATAGTCGTTAATGCGACATAAATAAACTAGTATGCCATTTAATAAAAAAAAAAACCACCACATTTTTTTCTTTCTGCAACTGTGAACGCTGCGTCACACTTGCCCGCTCACTCATCTTTACAGATTCCCTGCTCTGAAATTGAGCAAGTGGTGAGCTGAGCTGTTTTCTGGCACTGTTGTGCTCCTAAGGAAAAGCAGAAGGAAAAAACTGAAAAATGCTACAAGTAATGCGTTTTTCCCTTCCCTGCTCCATCCCCTGCTCCATCCAAACTTGTGAAATTGGCTTAAAGTTCCTTAAACTCTTTTACTCGGTTACAAATGTAGCTTCCAGCCCGCTAACTTTTTGTTGTGTTTAAACCTTTGCCAGGACGGGAGCAGTTTCACGGCCTCGGGTCTATGTACTGCAGAGGAGCAGCTGCTGTGATCCTCACGTATGATGTGAACAGCCTCCAGAGCCTGACAGAGCTGGAAGAAAGATTCCTGGCACTGACGGACAGTGCGAGTGCTGACTGCATTTTTGCTATTGTTGGAAATAAAGTTGACCTCACCGATGAGTGTGCTTTACCACCGGATGAAAATAGACCCGAGAAGCCTGTTGCCAGCTGTGGCTCGAAGGTGCGAAAACAAGTCCGCACAGAGGATGCGATTGCGCTCTATAAAAAGATACTGAAATACAAAATGCTAGACGAGAAGGATGTTCCAGCGGCTGAGAAAATGTGCTTTGAGACCAGCGCAAAAACAGGATACAAGGTGGACTACCTCTTTGAAACTGTGTTTGAGATGGTAGTCCCGATAATCGTACGGCAGAAAGCTGAGGGGCCGCCGCAGACTGTAGACATTACTGACTACAAGCCAGCAAAAAGGACAAAATCTGGTTGTTGTGCCTGAACCATTTATGTGACATGAGAAAAGGGGAGGGATTGTTTGCTCTGGCAAACTGAGGAGTAACAAGTGCTTGCAGTTCACCAGAAAGGAAAGGACAAAGAATAAATAGACTAAAATGTTGTATGTGGACAAAACCCCCAACCAACCAACCAACAAATCTTCTGACCATTAAAGGTATTTGGGAAGCTCTGTGGATGAAAATGGGAATGTGAGTGAAATGATGGAGGAAGACTTGCCCGTTTCCATGGGCTCTGAAGACAAATGGTGTGTTAGTACAATTGATGGCGACAATCATTTGGACGGTTTTGGAGGAGTCTGATTACTTTTTTTAATGATTCGCTGTTTCATGTTGCATGTAAATGATCTGTTTGTGTACTCTTGACAGCTTTCACATGATTATCATCTTTCCCCTTGCGACTCTAACTTTGGAAGATTGAATACACGGTACTTTTTTATTCCTAAGAAAAAAAAAAAGAAAATCCAGGTATAATTTATATTTGTAACTAATAAATCAATTGCAGTCTTTTTATGTCAGATATGACAGTGTAAGATGCAGAGGCTGAACTATTAAAATCACTGTGGATACGTACTATTCATTTGGAGACTTTATTACTGTGAATTCTCCTTCCATAGTGGGCTTTCATGTATTGACAGTCAGCATCACAGCTCTTGCTGCTCTAATTGCAAGTTGCAGGAAGAAGTTTTTCTTTCATTTTTCTCTTGTACCGCTTTTTAACACAGATAGCAAAGGGCTTTTTCAGGAAGGAAGTAGTTTTCTATTTTGTCTGTGTTTTGTAGAGACCTCTTTATGGTGCCTATAGGATACCACAGTGTTGAACACCTGTGTTCTGTCTCCCAGCTCCTCCTTAGTTGAGCCCAGGCAAAGCTGCAGCTTTGATTTTTAGCAGCTATGCATGACATTAACCATCTACCTGGAGGGAAATGAGGACTGGCATTTTCTGATGTGAAACTGGCTAATGCAGGAGGAAGGGAAGAGAAACTGCCTTTTGTGGAGTAGAAAGGGGCATGAAGGAGCACTAATGAGGTACGTGGTTTCTCTCCTGACTGCAGTAAAAAGGAGGGGTTAATACTCAATACTGCTCCTAGAGTTTCCCAGCCCTCTCTGCTACAAAGAACGCATGCAGTCACCCAGGAGCTCACACTGAGACACCCTAACGTAACCAGAGTGAAGAACTGCTAGTTTTAAAACAAATCAAAAAAAACCTCAAAACCATTTTCCCCCCCCCCAAACCCAAAAGAAACCCCCAAAGATGCCGCTTGCCTGTTTCCATGTCTGCAAGTTGTTGTGTGGGGACTCCTTCATCTTCCTATGGATGCTTCTGGCATAATTTTCTAAAACAAAAGGGTTGGTTGTTCTCATGCTTTGCTGTTGCCTTTCTCTGTCCCACCCAAATCATAGTTGTTTAATATGTAGGGAGACAATTCCTAAATGAATAATGAATTAAATTATTACTAAGTATATTTAAAACATTTTTTTTTTTTCAAAAGTGTGTCCTCCTGAGCAACTTGCTGCAGAGTAGTAGCTTTATTTTCTGCTTTGAAGTTGATGCACACTACCTGTGTAGTGGAGAAGAATGGCTTGAGAGAAAAACCTCTGTACATTTAATCATAGAATAGTTTGGGTTGGAAGGGACCTTTGAAGGTCACCCAGTCCAACCCACTCTGCAGTGAGCAGGGACATCTTCAACTCAGTCAGGTTGCTCAGAGCCCCGTCCTGCCTGACCTTGAATGCTTCCAGGGATGGGGCATCTAACCACCTGTCTGGGCAACCCCTTCCAGTGTCTCACCACCCTCATTGTAGAATATTTCTTCCTTCTATCCAGTCTGCATCTACCCTCTTTTAGTTTAAAACCATTACCCCTTGTCCTATTGCTACAGGCCAGGCTAAGGGTTGTCATCTTTTGGATTTGCCAAAGGTTTGCAGTTTAACACCTGCCAATCTGTCAGAGACTTAACTGCACCTCCTCTGCGGTATTTAAAAATGCATACAATTAAAACCCTTCTAGCTATTAACAAAATTCCAAGGCCAGTATCTAGTCTTCCCTCAGGACCGGGAAGAGACAAACAGGCTACAACCTCGGTCTTGTTTGTGACCAACGCGACCTGCCAGCGCATCTGTGAGAGGTTCACCACTGCCTTTGCTGCGTCTGGTGCCAACTGAACCTGCAGCATGCACGGGTTGCAAGGGCAAGGCTTTTGGGAGGTGCTTGTGAGGTGTACAGCTAGAAGGTATGGAACAGGAAAAATATTTGTAAATTAAATGTCTGACACTTCTTAAGTCATAAATATTTGCAATTCAGTTGCACCAGCCTTTGATTCATATGAGATCTTAAGGAATTCTTACAATCTTTCCAAAAGCTCCAACTTGGGTGTTTTCACTGAAAGAGATGACACAGGAGCCAGTCTTGTGTGCTGTGCTTTTGCCCTTAGGACTTACACTTATCTGGAATGATATTCATGGCTTTTTAGTGTCGCTAGCTATTGTTCCTTGAAAAATGTCTGGGTTATGATGGGTTGTCACTGCTAGCCTGTGAGAGATCACGGGGTTGCACAGCAGAACCTGGGAGGCTGTGTAATACATGGGAGCTGTTGAGAAGAGGTCAGGAGGAGACCTGCATTGCTCAATGTGCATGCCGGCCCTGTTTCTTTACTACTTTCTGAAGTCAGATTGTGCCTTCAAGCAAAACTTGAAGGTTTCTGGAGTTTTTTATTTTTATTTTACTGGTAATTTAAACTCTGCTGTAGCTGAGCTGCATTTTTACAACCCAAGTGTTGATGCTCTGTCTGCTGCAGCAATGCCTGTGCATGTCTGCAAGCAATCCCTCATGTCTGCAGACATTATTAGAGAGCACAGTTCAACCCTCAACACTGAAATTGCACAGATTATTATTTTTTTCTTTGTGTAGTGGTGCTGTGTGTGGGTTTTTTTTTGGGGGGGGGGGTTGTTTAACAGCATAGAGGAACAGTATAATATGGTCTGCTCTTGTGCTTATTAAGTGTCTTAACATGAATTCATTTATTTCCCTGTTACTTCTGCAGGTGCATCCTGATGTTCCAGCACGGCTAAAGGCATTTTTTTTTTTTGCCCTTGCTCCCCCTTTTTACTGAAACAATTCAGCTTATTGATGGGGAGGAGCAGCGAAGCTGCAGGGTAGGGACTGGCAGCCCAGGAACTGCACTCATGCACACTTGTTCTAACTCCTGTTGTCTTGGTAGCCTCACAACCTAGCAGCCGATGTACTTTTAGCATAGCAGCTGTAGGCTGGGCCACTAGTCCGGCTGGTCCGCTAGTCCGGCTGGGCGAGCACTAGGGCCCACCTTAACAGGGGCTGGGCCGTGCACCCATTTGATGCCAGCTCTTCTGCATCCCACTGGCTGCAGCAAGTGTTTTCCTCCGTCGCTGCGAGGTTGCTTTCCCCATGGATGACCTCGGTGCACAGCCAGGAGCTGGGCCAGTGGTGGCCCTGGGGGAACCCCTTGCGCCAGGACTAGCGATGCCGGGGGAAATGGGACCCCAGTGCTCTGCCTGGGAGGGGAACCGTGTTTTACAGGGATTTATTTTCTCCCTCTCTCTCTGTGAAGTGTTTGAACAGTGAAATGAGAGAGATGTTATTTTTGGCCACGCTGGGTGAATGTGAGCTACGAGGCCTGCCTGTGCCCGAGGTGATGGTGGGGCCAGGCTGTGACCCGATGGGGAGGGAGGGATGGCGGGGGGAGCAGGGGAGGACCTGTGCCTGGCTGCTTGGGAAGGCCCCATCCTGCTTCCTGCCACTCGTGGGTGCTGATGGTGCAAGACTGAGGTTGCCCTTGGCTCCTGACAACCCCAACAAGGCTTCGAGTCTGGTGGGGGCCATGAGGGAGCCTGAACCCCCCGGGTGCCCGAGGGGCAGGCAGAGCTGCCAAGCCACCTGCTTCAGCTCGGTTTCGCCCTTACCCACGCCGTGGCGGGCAGCACCGCTGCCCATTTTTACCTCTCTGCTCCATGGGTCACGGGGTGCAGCGATGTTACTTGTTCCCCTCGCCTGGTGTGTCTCCCACCGACATATGCCCAGCCCCTGACGGCTGCAAGGCTGGGCCCTCGGTGGGCACGGGGTGGCCATCCCTGGGGATGCCGCTGGTCCCCGCGTGGTGACTGCACTGGGTGCCGTCAGCACATCAGCCGTGACCCCCCAGCGTCTCTTCTGGCAGCAACCTGATACCTTCTGTCTCAGGGTCATGTTTACCGCTTGCTGTTTGCTAATTTTCCATTTCCAGCAGCTGCGGGCAAGCCCAGTCATGCAGGGTGTGAATGAACTTGGCTGATCCGGTTGATACGCTCTGAGGAAATAATTGGTGTCAACTGATGTCACCGTGTTGACTTCACTGTATCTGTGCTGATACACTGATGCAGTTGAACCTACAGAAGGGGAATATAATCTCATTTATCTTCTCCAGGCTCAGCAGCACGTTGTACTTTGTATTTTCAGACAAGAAAGTGTAGGAAGCAAACAGCACACTTTAAAGATTTGACCCAGGCTAAACACTTAAGGTCTTTACAACCTAGGCTGGAACACTATAGTTTGGTAAAAAGATTGTTTTGTCTTGCTGTAGCTGAGTTTTTCCTGTATAAAATTGTTTTAACTTCTCAGAAGTGGATTCTGGGATCACAGAATTGTGGAATGGTTTGGGTTGGAAACGGACCTTTAAAGATCATCTAGTTCCAACCCCCCTGCCACGGTTTTCACTAGATTGTGATCTGTCGCTAGGTCAGGTTGCTCGAAGCCCCATCCAACCTGACCTTGAACACTTCCAGGGATGGGGCATCCACAACTTCTCTGGGCAACCCGTTCCAGTGTCTCACCACCCTCATCATAACAAATGTCCTCCTGTCCAATCTAAACCTACCCTCTTCTAGCTTAAAACAGTTGCCCCTTGTCCTGTCACTTCAGGCCTTGGTAAGAAGTCCCCATCTTTCTTATACGCCCCCTTTAAGTACAGAAAGGCCGCAGTCAGGTCTCCCCGAAGCCTTCTCTTCTCCAGGCTGAACAACCCCAGCCCTCTCAGCCTTCCTTCACAGGAGGGGGGACAGATGTGCAGCTAAGAGGCAGTTTAAGTCAGTTCCCCTCCATGCTGTGCTCTGGGTTAGCTCACCAGGTGAAATCTCTGGCTGCTGCAAGTATTCCACGTGTTCGCATGCACGAGCTCCCTCCCCTTCTCAAACAGCGATTACGCAGGCTTTGGAGAAACACGGGGGTGAGTACGCAAAGTACAGAAGTTCAAGTCTGCTTGGAGCCTTGTGGGGTTTTGTGGCTTGTTTGTTTTTTCCTGCACCATGCCTGCGCGTTCAACTCAATCCTGTGTCAACACTGCACTGAACAAACTTGTTGAGAACAGCTTATGTGAATCAGTGAAAATTAAGAGGCAAAGCAGCTGTTGGAGGCAGGCCTATCTCCTGAAGTCTTAGATGCAAAAAAAAAAAAAAAAAAAATCACCTGCATAGGAAGATTAGGCAATGTATTAGCCATGAAAATCCAAATAGTTTGCTGCTAGTGGTGACATAATTGGTTTTTACAGATTTGTGTAACCTCCACTTGCAGTCTCTTAAAACACTGCATGTGCCGCGTTGCCGGAGTTGCGTGCTGTAAAAATCACAAGTGGTAACTGTGCGCTCATCCCAGGACCAGTGATGCCTAGCAATGCCTGGAAGAGGTAAATCACTGACTCTTGGGTGTTTGTTACTGCCATGCGTAATTTAAAAGAATTAGCAAACGTGGAATAGATTTGGTGCATGCTGACTGCAGTGATTTCAATTCTAAGTATTTTCTTTGGCTGAAACAAATACTAGCGTGATTAGTTTGCTTGGGAGCTGCCTTTCAGAGCTATGGCCTGGCCAGAGAGCTCATTTCAAGCTCAGGTAATTTCTCTGTTTATGCATATATCTAATTTTATGTACAACAAATATAGGTTAGACAGTGTGCTAGCTAGGAACTT